AGGCCCGTCCCCTTCCCGCCGAGCCGAGCCGAGCCGGGCCGCGCCGCCTGGTGCCTTACGGGCTGGTGGCTGTGCGGCCCGTTGCAGCCGCCCGAGAACTCCGGGCGGCCGCGGCCTCAGGGTGATTTTTCATTGAGCCCGAGCCCCGCTGCGGGGTGGGGAAGGGAGCGGGTTTGGAGAGCAAGAGCCGCTGCAAGGCGACTAGAGCAGAGCAGAGCAGGAACATCTTGGCCTTTGGGCCGGAGGCCAGCGCTCGGGGGCTGCACGGCTCCGACTGCCGCCTGCCTTTCCTGGCTTTGAATGGCGCAGCCGATTGTGGTGAGTCAGACATTCAGAGCACTGACCCCAGCCGTGCCTCTGCAGTCGCCCTAGAGCAAAGCCCTGCGCTGCTGCGCGCTGCATTCCGCCCCTCTCGGAGAAGCAGCTATCGTTAAGCCTCAAAACAATAAGAGACTTTAGGTTTATGAAGTTCTAAAGCAGAGATACTCAGGCCCTCCAGGCTTCTCCGAGTTAACTGCCTAATTCAATGTCTGATCCCAAACAAATGCCTAATCCCTTTCTGAATTTTACCAACCTGTTGGAGTTCATATTACAATGAGTTCCACAGTGTAACATAATAAACATATCATTTAATTTTAATTGGTTAATTTACAGTTTTCTGCAGTTCGTAGAATTGTTGTGCTCAGTCAATATATATTTGCTTTCTCTGTTGCCTGTGTTATTTATAAATCTTCTCCTGTTTTACCTCTGAACCGTAGACTTTTTTTTTTTCCATAAGGAGATTTCTTTAAGTTTTCCCTCATCTTCATTTTCCACTGTGATTCTTAAAAAAAACTATGCAAAAGTTTGGCAAGTGGCGGGCCATGCATTAGCTTTGTATCTTGCTTTGAGTTCTGCCCATTGAGCAATAACTGTCAAATGACATTTGAGTTAAACCCAAAAGATAAGTAAGAAGTATGGATTATTGCTGCATTGCTTAGTTAATATTATTGCTTCACCTAATTAAACAGATCTTGTTGATGAAGGAGCAGTGAGAGGTTTGCTCAAAACTAACTCTTTGTAGCTCAAAAGTAGCTGTTAACACAGCATGCAGTTAAACTGAGGAGCTCCTGGTCATGGCAAAAGATTTTTAAAAGGTCTTTTAGATTTAGACTGTAAAGGATTTTTACAGATGTCCAAAAAGCATTTAGACAGATTAATGAAGAAAAGTAAATTAAAATATATTAAATAGCGCAGCCTGTCTGACTGAGCAAATCTCTGCAATGGAATTTTCAGGAAGGTGGGAGCAACCTGTGGGGAGGAGGTGTGTGTTACTCTCCGCTCCTGCTGCTCTGCAGAAAACTGTTGCCTGTGCCTTAGACAGAATCCTGGGTTAAATGGAGATGGGTCTGACCTAGTACTGCTATTCCTAAAGCAAGATTCTCAAGTCATCTGCATTTTTGACTAGCATAAAAAAAACTAAATTGCTAATAAACTTGTTACCTCAGTGCATAGCCTTTTCAGATCATCAAACAATGTTAATGGTGTTTTTTTCCTTTTCTCCAGCACTCAGATTTCTTGCACTCTTTTCTGCTACCTCAAACTTTTCCTTTTAAGATGTGAAAGCAGGATGTAGAGGCAGTATTTTATAAGATAAAATTATCTGCTTTTTCCTTACATACCCTTTTTGCCATTACTTTGTCCTGGGAGCACATTATAATCCTGACTGCTGCTGCTCTCTCTGCTAGTTTGCATGAATTGCCTTTATGCCCAATTCTAGATTTACAACTTCAGAATTTTGGCTTTATTAAAGCAATCTGTGTAAGCCCAGCATAATGCTCCTTTGTGGCTGCTCGCAAATCACTGCTCAATTAAGAATCTAGGAAAAATAGTTTAAAACCTAATAATTTTCAGTATTTCCATGAACAGGCAGGAAGTTATTCAGTCTAGAACAAGTTTTCCTGGACTCTTGCTTGAGCCAGACTGCTATTTGATTCCTTATAATTCTTTTTTGGTGAGGGAGAAATTTTTGTTTGTTTGTTTTATTTATTTATTTATTTATTTATTTAAAAAGGATCTCTTTGTGGTCCAGTTTTAATCTATTTAGACTCTATGCTATAGTGTGCTAAACCTATAAGTGCAGTTTTATGAGATACCAAGGCTACTGTTTACAAAAAAAATCTATTAAGTTCTCTTAAAAAAATATATAACACCTCTACCCACAGTGGCCAATACAAAGGATCTTAATTCTTTAGTGATTTGATTCTATCATTCTCATCTGGCAATTTTTATAGTCCTTAGCAGCCTAAAACATTAAAAATACACTTTTTTTTTAAGTAATTATCACTCTTCTGGGTTAGTAGATTTTCCCAGTGATTTAAGATTTATTAAGCATTTAAATATGTACGCAAGAAGTGTCCTCAATCAGCTCTTTTTAGTGTCCTTGTCCACAGTTTTTTCATGCTTGCCGATTTTAAAAAATGTTTCTTTCTACTAGATTTCATTCCATTTTGCCTTCATTAATATTGGATCAAAAAGGAGTTCCTCTCTTTGTGAAGAGAATATGTTGTCTTTTGTTTCTCCTGAAACCAAAGAATTTTGAAGACATACACCTTTCATATGCTGAGGGCAGTACTGTTTTTTATTACTGTACTTTATTTATTTATTTATAACAACTGGGACACTTTGTGTCCATAGGTTTAGTTTAGTCAGGGTTCTCTACTCCCTGAAAAGTTCTCCTTAGTCTTGCCATTTAGCCATACTGGCTTAGAAATTCCTCCTTTTCCTTGGACTTTGTAAGTGTTGATTAAACAACCACCATGTTAAGGAGCAACAATTTCTTTAACAACAATTTCTTACTCCCACTTTTAAAATTCTTCCAAATTAGCTGCACCTTTTGGTAGTTTAAGCGAGTTGAACTCAGGAAACTTCCATACACATTTGGGTGATGGGTTCTAATCCATATCCTCACCATGTGGAGGCAGGGGCTCGGGGCTGCTTCAGTGCAGACCACAGTGTGCTCTTTCCAGGGGCTTCTTGAAGTTAACACAGATGTTACAAGAAGTTGTGTCTCCTCATGCACAGTTCCAGGGAGAAATCTTTAGGGTACTAAGCAATTGTTTCTGTAAGTGTCATCCTGTTGTACCTTTTGCCGAGTTTTTAGATAAGAAGTTGAAACCGTTCTTATAGTAGCATTTATTCAGGCTTCTGAGACTCCTTGATCTGTCACCTCTGCACTCAGTTCTTTCCTAAGCTGGAAACTACACTTCTGATCCAGAAAACACCAGGCATGTAAGTCTGGAGTCTGTGCCAGGCAAATCTGTAGAAACCATGGTAAAAACTGTTAGCCACCTGGAGAAGTCTCTTGGGGAAGGCCTGCCTCACCTAACTGCTCTGTGGTTAAATAGGCTGCCTGGGATTCTGTATTGAGCTGCTTGCTTATCCAGAGGACCTGAGCCGAGTTGCTTAGTTGGATCTGCAAAAGGCCTGAGAAAGCAGCAGGAGAGCAGGGAAGTAGTATAAGTAGTTGCTGGTATCGCCGTCTGTTTTTAGACTTGCTTAGCTGCTAGAACGTCACCTCTTGGACTTTCTTCTAAGAGGAACCAAGGCTTTTTTTTTTTTTCTCCTAACCTGTAAGCAGCAATAAATGAAGTACCCAAAGTAAAGGCATATATGAGCTGCTTGATGTATGTGCTTAGAGCTGTAAAGATTGTTTCAAACTTAATTTTTCAGCACTCTGTCCTGTACCTTTACATGTAATTGTCTTGAATTGTGTCCTCTCAGTATTTTTTAAGTATGACTAAGCTGACTAATGATTCATGAGTTCCAAAAATACCTTCTGTCTGCTGAAGGTCAGGGTCCTCTTTCATTAGGCAAGTTTGGGGGTGTGAGCCTAGCTGTTGGTCTTGCAAATATGGGACTGAATAGGTTACAGATTGAAAGAAGCAGGTGGGATAGGGTAGGGAGAATCTATGCTGCCTCTGGAGCCAGTGTTTCTCTGGGGAAGTGTGTGGTCCTGTGCCCTGTGATCTCAGCAGAAGGCGTTACAGCGAGACTGGGCAGAAGAATCGTTTGCTCTGGGAAATCCTAAATGCAAAGACCAGTAGCTTTGAGCTGAGGGACTGCTGAATTCCTATGGACTTGGGACTGTTTGTCTCGAATGCTGGTTTCTGAGGGAGGCTGCCAGGAGGTGTCCCAAGCTTGGCCGTTATTACGTTAATCAATGTCAGAGCAAGAGGTCAGATGTGACGCAGACTGGGGGACCTAAAAGCACTGCAGGGCAGAGGCAGACAAAGAGGAGGGTCAGGATTGCTGCCTTTCCCTGCGCATGTGTCATCCTTACGTATGCGGTTTCACTCTTTACGCTCTAGATGTGGCGGCACGGCTGGAGCCATCCTGACCTGCCCCCTGGAGGTGGTGAAGACACGGCTGCAGTCATCCCAACTGGCGTTGCGGCCCGTGTGCCTCCCTGAGATACAGCTGCCGAGCATGAGTGTGCGGCTGATGCACCCAGCCCCACCATCCCCTGGAGTGCTCAAGCTGCTGAGGTGAGGAGGATGGGGTCACGTGCATGTTAGTGGCAGGGATATGAAAGCTTGACCATCAGATGGAGAGAGAAATGGAAGCGGGGGTTGAATTGAGCCTCTGCAATCTGTAGCTGTGGTGAGAAGTTTCATAATGAGCACAGACACAACTTGTCACAGTTGATCTGTGCCTGAATTCTGAGCCTGCAAGGCAGCTGCTGGGGCTGGGAGAAATTTCACAGCTAGTAGTTTCATCAAACCCAGCATGCTATCGGCAAGAATAGGAAGAAATGACTGAAGGAGAGCGGAGGAGTGACTGGAGAGAAAATGGGAGTAGGGCAGGAAAAAAAAAGGAGAGCACTGAAGATGAAGAGAAGAGCCTGAAATACTGAAGGAATCACAGAATGGTTCAGATTGGAAGGGACCTATAGAAAAGGAAGAGGAAGAAGGAACAGGAAAGCTTTCAGTTTAGGTCTTCTCCTGATTTCTCTGTTCATCTACTTCTACAGGGCCATCCTTGAGAAAGAAGGCGTGCGATCCCTGTTCCGAGGCCTGGGCCCAAATCTTGTTGGGGTCGCTCCTTCTCGGTAAGTGCCTCTCCCTAAGGATAGCCCATGCCTTACATGTGCATGTTTCTAACGTACCTCCTTACCTTTGGAAAGCAGCCAAGGTCCTGAGTTCATTGTGCCCCAGGACCCTTTCACCCAGTTGCTTTTTAAACCTGATCACAGCTGAAGGGGAAGATGATGGTGGCAGGCCAAGAGCAGGCGATATCTGAGATCACATTAGACAAACCCATGCGGAGAACAAGCAAAGTTGGAGTGAGGTCCCACAGCACTGTTTTTCTTGCTCTTTGTGAGCTGTAACCTCACTGCATTTCTTTTCAACCAGGGCTATCTATTTTGCTGCCTATTCTGGTGCTAAGGAGAGGCTCAATGCTGTTCTTGTACCAGAGTCCAAGAAAGTGCACATGCTGTCGGCAGCCTGCGCAGGTGAGCCTCTTCTGTCCCAAACGAGAACCAAGAGGTCCTTTTGTCTGTGTGAGAGGTTTCATCTCTCCCCTTTGCCATTTCCTTCAGTCCTGCTCCCTCTTCTGAGCCTTTCTCCCTCCCCACGTGCAGCAGTAAGTTTCTTTGGTAAGGAGATGTTTTCTTATTCATTCTTCTTTAGAGTCCTCACTTGAGCTCCATTCAGGTGTGAGGGATGAAAAAGGCAATGTATAATTTAGACCATTCACAGAATTATATCTCTGGATATTTCGCAGTGCTGTACAGAATTTTCAGTCCTCATAAGTTTGGTCTGTCGTTTCCTGCCTCTAACACAGCTGGGCCTATAGTAGGGTTATGAGTGGGAGGTAGAGGATTTTAGGAGCCACCAGGCAAAGGGTGGGATGTGACAGGGCAGAGGATCAAACAGTTTGCTCTAAATGTCTCCTCTCTCAGGGGGGCCTAAACTCAACTAAACTCAAGGTCTTCCTCAAATTGCGGACACCTGCAGCATGCCAAGCAGCATTCATAGAGCTGATAGATCAGGAACTGTCCACAGAATGTCAGTGTGATTCTGGTGTTCACTGCTGTCTTTCTCTTCTGTTCTCCAGGAGTTACCTCTTCCACACTCACTAACCCTATCTGGTTGGTGAAAACGAGAATGCAACTGGAAGCCAGGTAAGGCAAGCAATTAGAGCCGCACCGTGGCAAATTAAGGCTCCTTTGGGGGATAGGGTTGGGGACAGGTCTGTGACCTACCTGCAGAACATGTCTTCAGGGCATGCTTGCAGATGTAGTTGTGTTCACAGCAACGTTTGAAGTCAGTGAAGCGATGCGCAGCTCCTACCTCCCCTTCTCTTTCCCCTGCAGGGTGAAGGGGGAGCTGGGCAGTAATGCCCTCCAGTGTGCCATGCGCGTGTACCGCACTGAGGGCCTGCGGGGCTTTTACCGAGGAATCACTGCTTCCTATGCTGGAGTGTCAGAGACCATCATACACTTTGTCATATATGAAGCACTGAAACAGCAGCTGAAGAGCGGCTATCATTCCCTGTCCCCACCACTTGGGCTTCCACCCAACAACCATGATTTCTTTGGACTAATGGGAGCTGCTGCTGTCTCCAAAACATGTGCCTCGTGCATTGCATATCCACATGGTGAGTGGGGCCACTCTCCTTGCTCCTTTTTCCCTTGCTATGTGATCCATTGCTTGTAGAAACAGTCTGCTAATACTGCTTTCCTCCTTTGTCTCTTCAGAGGTCATTCGGACACGGTTGCGAGAGGAAGGCTCCCGGTACCGTGCCTTTATACAGACTCTGCAGCTTGTGGTCCATGAAGAGGGCCCCCTGGCTTTATATCGGGGGCTTCTGGCCCATTTGATCCGCCAGATTCCCAACACAGCTATCATGATGGCTACTTACGAACTCATTGTTCACCTGGCCTCCTCCACCTTGTAAGCACACTGCAGCACCAGGCTGAGGCTGGTGGGTTTGAGGGGCCTCATGCACCTGAGGTTTGGTCCTTGTCTGTGTTCTGAGAGGCGGTGCTTTCCTGTGCACAGTTGGTCTGGGTAGCCTTCATCAGGCATAGCATTCTCAGGAATTTATTTTGTGTGAAACTTCCAGCTCCAGGATGCATAATGTAGCCCTTCTTTCCAGAGGTTTGAACTCTTCCAGTGTTTCAAGGTGTCACTGTATTGGTTTGACAGTGCCAACTGTTAGCTCCTAGTACAAAGCAAAAGTATGGAACTGGAGGATGGGGAAGGGAGGCAGAGGGGAAAGTGTGTAGGTATCTGAGCCTCGGAGTCTTCACTTTGTTTGGAGCCAGAAACCCCTACGCAGGGGCAGAGTTTCACTTCAAGAATGGGACTAGAATGGAGACATCTGTGAGAGATGTGGTGAGATAAGGCAAGATCTTGAGAGACTGTTCATGCCCACGGAGGGATTCTTACACTCTTGCCTACTGTATTGTCCCCTCCTCCTGAAGAGGATTCTTCCACCTTGGCTGCCAGCAGAGGTCTAATTGCAGAGTCTTCACAACATAGCCTTTGGCCCTTGGCTTCCTTTAGCTCTGAGGAACTGGACCAAGTAGATGAAGGGAAGAAGCACGACCTGCAGTGAAGCACCACTCTCATAGTTCATGCTACGTAGCCTTGTGTTGCTTCAATCTACTGTTCTTGCACCCCCTTAACGGAGCAATGGAAAGAAGAGGACAACACTTCCCTCAGAAGTGCTAGGGCTGTTATGCTGCAGCTTGGAATACCCTGTGTGAAATACATTTTTATCCTGGTAAAGGAAGTGGATCTAGAATGAAAAGAAAAAAAAAGTGGACAAAAGAGAGGATTGGACTTGTTTGTACTGATAACACACTGCCTGTATGGAATGAGCATTGTTTTATTCTGTAATCAAGGAATAGTTTTTTAAAAAAAAAGTGTTAAAATTTGTCTGCCACAGCCTGGGATGCCTTCTGTTCCTCTGGGGGTTCCTAGACCTCATGTCCTTGGGAAGCAACATTGTGTTTGCAAAGAGAGGATTTTGACTCTCTAAAAGGACAGGGGTGATGTGTTTTTCCTGTTTTAACACATGCACACAAACAATCTTTCACAGGCCTATGGCAATTATTTAAGTAAATATTGCTGAACAAGTTCCAGTCTTACACCAAAGATGACGATGGATGGTTCTTTGCCTGCTCATAGTGAAAAGCCACCGAAGCCCTGAATGTTTTGTTTTAAATCCATTTATTTTAAAATCCATTTCATTTTCCTCATTCTTCTTTCCTTCCTTTGTTTATTTTAGGAGTATCAACAACTTTACAAAGCGACACAAGCTGCAGTGTTTTGTTTTTTTGTTTTTGTTTTTGCATGAAACAAGAATAAACCTCAAACGACAACATTGAAAAAATATACAATATATATATATAATATCTGGGGAGTGGAGAGGGGTTGTAAGAGACCCCACTCTGAACCCTACAGTCGGCTCTTCTTCCAGTTTTCTTTTCTTTCCAAGCCCCTCCTTCCTCATCATAGTGTAAACTGTGCCACTGTCAGATGCAAGTGCTCTAATATATGTTTCTAGAGAGCCAAAGGGGGAGGTCAGTAATGTGGGGAATGTCCACAATGAGAATGACAGAAGAGGAAGTAACATGGAAGGCAGAAATGAGGGAGGAGAGCATGTCTACAAGGTAGGGGAAAGAGAAGATTAAAATAAGACACCCTCTCCTTCCAGTCACATAGTGTGGGGATCCACTGGAATGATTTTTTTAAGGCTCCTAGTAGTGGTGAGAGCCATCTCTTTTGCCCAGGATGTGTCGGTCGTCCACATCGTTGCTGTCTAGAGAGTCAGGTGTCTCCGAGTCACTGCTGTCATCGTCTTCCTCCAGGCCTTGGCTAGCTCTGCCCTCGCTGCTTTCTGCTGCCCTCTCCTGGCAGCTCTGGTAGGACTGTGAAGACGAGACAGTGGGTGAGACAAAAGGCGTAGGAAGCCCCCAGCCCAGCCTGCTGTAATTGCTTCTCACCTCCATGGGGTTAACTATGATGGTGAGGGCTGAGTCATCCCAGAACATGTCACCATCCTTGCTGCTGGTGCCTGTGTGCCCTCCTGCAGCAGCCCTGTGGGCCTCTTGCCCTGCTTCCCGGCGGTGAAGCGAGTGGATACGCAGGATGCCCAGGATTACCATGAGTGCCAGGAAGCCCACACACACCACGATGATGATGGTGGCTGTGCTGGGCACCACTGCAGAGAGAAAAGGAGAAGTAGTCAGAATCTGTCACATAAACCTGGATTTTCAACCTAACTCACTCCTAACCTATGAAAACCAGGGTTGTTGAGCAGGGTTTGCATTCTTGGTTTAGGTGAGATGATGTCCTAAACTCTTCCACTGCCACCTGGACACAGGCAGTTTCAGCTTTCTGCCGCTGCATTCTCACTCAATGCCTGCACATTTTCCCAGATTGCTCTAACATCATGTCTCACTGTAGGAGCTGCATGACTTCAGTCCAGCTTTGAGGTAACCGGAATTTGTCTCATAGTAGTTCTTGGGATTAGCTTTAGGTGATTCTGTACAGCCAGGGACAACTTTTCCTGTCTGCAGTAGTCAGGGAGACTGGGGCAGGGAGGGCCAAAGGCAGACCTCGTGGGCTCTCCCAGCACATATGCTATCCCTGCAGTTCAGTTCCAGCTGCAGACTGCCATCAGCCTTGAATTGGCTGCTGCAAGAAGAATCAAAGGCGTAGATAGCATCCACACTCCCAAAAGGAGGAGGCCAAAGATGACACAGGCTCTTCCATAACAGGCATTGAGCTTTCACAACCAGGAGGAATCAGTTAGGCTGCTTTCATGCTTGTGGCAGAGAGCTACCAGATCAAACCAACAAGTATGATTTCTGGTCTGGGTTTCAATCCTCCTTTCTCTCTGTTCTGTAGGCAAGAATTTTCCTCTTGGCCTCCTGTCTTCAAGGTCCTGTCTCTTGTATTTTTTGCCTTACTGATCACCATCTAGTTCTATCTACTCTGAGAGCAGTGCCAGTCTTGATTCTCTTCACTTTCACCCAGCCCTACATAGCACATTTGCAAGATGCACAAATGGAATAGTATCAGCTCATGGTTACCTTTTTAGTCCTTCTCAGGTGAAGGTCTCAACTTCTACACACACCAGAAAAGCGACACAAAAAAGGGGGAATAACTGACACACCAAGCTCTAAAACACAATTTGATCTAGACTTCAGTCCACTTGCTAATGAAGAGTGGGACAGGACATTATACTTAAAATTCCTAGAACTTCCTGAAATGAAGTCTGTGCTATAGATTCTAGCAGGATATGATCCAATAGAATAGAACCAAAAGATAAAGAGTTACATACTAGAGTCACTATGGGTGCTTGCCAAACTGTGCCCAGATAGCTCTGGGGGTAAGTGATGGCCTTGGTGCATGAACAGCTGGGAACTCAGAATATGGTTAGGATGAGCAGCTCGGTTCATGTTGTGGAGGACATTCACCTACAAAAAAGACCAGAGGGAGGTACAATGAGACATAGCCCTGTGTTCACTGTGATCCCACCAACATAGCCATGCACTCTTGCACACCACTTCCTCTTTAAGCACACAGAATGCACACATTGATCCTGTACCTCAACAGTAAACTCATTGCTGGAGTAGCGCCCATTCATCTCAGTGCAGGACAGGTGAAATTTCCTTTCATAAAGAGCAGCACCATGGATGATGTGGTATGAGACCTGGCGTAGTATCTCCTCGTATACTGCAATGCTCTCCACCCCTGAGAAAAAGAAGAGGGAATTGCTGCGGGATGGGGAAGCTCTTGCTTCTATGTTACCTAGCGTAACACTCCCATAGAATCTAAGAACTATGGAGAAATCTTAGGCAATACGAAGTTCATGGAAGGGAGTAGTTTTGGAACCGGCTGCAAAGGATCTATTGAAATCCTTGCTTGCATTGCTAGAAGATGTCAAAGGGAATAAAATGCCTAGAGCAACAGTCCTGTCAAGTTCTGGAGAGGGCACAAGCATTGCACCAGTGCTGTTGACATCTGAGAACGTCAAACCTCAAGGGCAACAGGAGAAAGTCATGAGGAATGATGCAAGGCTGAGTAAGATCTCAGACACTGTGTGCTGCAGGAGAAGCCTTTCTCCAAGGAAATGGTCTGGGACTTCAAAAGCTAGCAATTCAGAAAACAGCTACTTCTCAGAGCCTTGCAAAATACATCAGAGCATCTCAGTGGGTTAAGTGCTTCTCCCAGTGCCCCATTAACAGTGGGTTAAGTGCTTCTCCCAGTGATGCTTTACAGGCAGTGAAAGAGGCATAAAAAGACAACTGTGGCCAAGGAAAAGACAAACCTGTGATGGTGAGGTAGGCAGAGGTGTTAACAAGCTCAAGGCCCCGCTGCTGCAAGGCTGCCCCATCCAGCAGCAGATATTCCCTCTCTGGATCCAGGTCATCTCCCACCAGTGAGATCTCACAGCCATCCAGGTTGTGCACAATCTCATCTGACATTCGTGTGTCTGTCACTGACAGGAAAGAAGAGACGACCAGAAAGGCAGACAGACGTGAATCAAGGCAGGAGTTATAATGGCACCCACTTACTTAGAAATGCCCACATCATAAATAATGACTTCTCTTTCTCTGCTTGCACTAATCTTGAGCAAAATCACTGTCCAATTATTTGTTGCAGGAGTCCCCCTTCTTTTAATGGTATTATTTATGCACATAATAAAATCCCTCTATTTTGAAACAACATACCATTATAGGATTGGTTCATGACAATACATCTTGGCTAGAAAAAGTGTGCTGATAATGCAAATTAGCAACAGCTATATCACACATTCCCAGACACTGAATGCTTTTGAAAACTTTCCTGTATCTCAAATTGCTGGTAACTCTGAGATTCTGTCTTACTCAAAATGGCAACCAACAACTATTTTCTTTCAGCAGGGCTAAAGCCTACCTGGCCTAAGTCAAGACACTTGT